ACAGTTTACCGCCGACTCGATAATTTAACACTGGCGCCATCTCGCGGCATTCTCCCATCTGAACTTCTTTACCACACAGCACACCATCAATAATTTCTCCTAATTATACAAAATAACCTATTAATGGGTATTAATTGGGACCAATTGTTTGTCTATCAGCATTTAAATAATTTTTTGATTATATTCCAATCATTTTTGGCCCATTTTTCGCCTTAAAATGACATCCATGCTACATCCATGCTACAACATGGATCCTTATTCGCCAGGGATAGTAATATTTACTATTTTATTTTCTCCGTGCAGGCTATGGGAATCGCATAAATGCGACGCTGCCAAATCTAATGAGATTTACTTTCATTTTGTCCCGTCCCACACGCCAAGAACGTTCTCAATGCGTTCGTTCTTCATAAGAACGTTCTTCCTAATTTCGTTCCTCATTTCGTTCCCGTTCTCGAAGCGTTCTTGGGAACGAAAACGCCAAAACCGGAGTTTTGTTCGTTCCTCAATTTTGTTCTCAGTTCCTGAAAAATATTTCTGCAATAATCTCCAAAAAGAAGAGGATCCACAATTACTGCACAACTGGTAATAAGTTGTTTAATAAAATGAGGTAAACTTGGAATCATTCTCAATACATTTTTGTTGACAAGTGTTTTGGGAAGAGAAATTGATAACTTTTCTCACATTCCTCCTACTTTCGAAGTCAATTAGCATTCCACGCCGATATCATATGCTTATTTTATCGTTTTATTGCAGGTGAGTCCTCCATCGATTTCTGATGCACCAGAACGTCCCATTACCCTTGGGCTGATCTAAAACAAAGCCACGTGTAATTGAATGATGTAATTAATTATGAGTTAGTGATCACTACGTACTATTGACATTAATCTCATAGGTATTTTGATGAGAAGTAATGTTTAAAAAAATTCTCACTTCTTCATTCTCCCTCTTCCTTCCATGAGTTGAAATTCAACACCAATCATTGTTCTTTATGAGAAAACAGATCTTATGAGAAAACGGTTCTTACAATGTTCTTAAAAAACTAATCAGTGATAGATTGATAAATTGCGAATGCAGTGAATTTTTCGCAGAATTTTGTACCAGATAGTTTCTGCGATATTCAATTCTAAAAAATGAAAAGTTCGTGAAAGCATTCCTTATTTGATTAAAAAAAGTAATTAACAAATAATTTCTTATTTGATTCAAACAGTTATTGTTGCCTGCTGTGACCTTTCAATATTTAATTAGTATTATTTCCTAAAAGGGGGATTTAGGGCAATTAAATAATGAGGACAAATGAGGGATAAAATTAACTAAATATCTATATTTCTATTAATTTACATATTAGATCGTCGTAAGACGTTTGAAATGCCTTTTACTTGGATCTAGGGTTATGGGTAAGGCCAGGCAACTTTTGTACACGTAAAAAGGGGAGTGACTCTAATGCAGAAAAAGGGGAGAAGCTAGTCGTGTCGAGGGAATGCAACTAAATATAAAAAGAATAACTAAATGGGGAAGACACAAAGAGTGTAGGCTCACCGTTGGGGGGTATGAAGGGTAATATTGTGTGGTCAAGAGGGAAAATGAGGGGGGTAACTCGTACTCACGATGGGACTTCACTCTGGCGAACACGTGGAATTCCACCGGCGCCTTGCACTCCTTCAAAATACCAAGGCGGTTTCCTGGGGAGCCTCCTTTCCATCTCGGGGTTTCCTGGGCACCAATACTAGAGCTGGGATGAGCTCGATGTATCGAAAATCCTCTTTTTATCCGCCAATACTTCCGGGCGAATTTTACTGTATTCACTATTACTACTTTCGGGGCACGTGGTGACTCACGGGGCAGCTATTGCACGAGTGACGGTCTCTTTCTTTCCTTCGCGATTCGTGGGGGTTCGTCAGGTGTCGATGTCCTTCGGGTTTTAATTCGGGAACAATCGGGGCCAATCAGCATGGTTGAGTGGTGACGATGACCACAATCCAGGGATGTCTCACAAGGGATTATTGCTGGTGTTGAATATTCGGGGGTCTAGTACGGGGAATTTCCAGGAGGCGTTGACTTCTCCAATTGATCAGGTGGGGCCGGAACTGATGTCTTCCTTCGGCTGATGTCTTCGTGATGTCCAGGGGCAGGGATAGAGGGGCGATGAGGGAAAAAGTCTGGGGAAGGGGTATCCAACAGTGGCGGAATTTACCTTTTAGGGGGCAGTATGTAGTGGGAAAAAATATGTAGAAAAATAATAAAAAGTAAATAATGTGCCTCGTCACACTGCATCAACACATGAAAATAGAACAACTCAATGGTGTATGAGAATGCAACAAATTAAATGATCTAGATTTTTTTTCGGAAATCCATAACGACTAACTTTTGGGTCCGAATGTTTTGGGACATACCTCAATATCGCATCCAGACACTCATCAATGCATGATTCTCCATTCAACTACATAACTATATTCCTCATCATTCTTAACTGTCCAAGTCTTCCTAGGGCCACAAACCAACGAATGAAAAGCCCTTAGAGTACCAGACAATGCCACTAAAAAACAGATTTTTAAATTCATTGCAAGCAGTATTACCCCCTTGGAACTCTTCTTCATCAAGTCATCGTTGAACAAGCGTATATTGCAATATTTCTCGAAAAAATAGTGGGTCAACACTCTGGACCTATCTAGTCTCCTCACAAGCGCTGATTATACCACTGGGCACTACTGGGCTTCGCCTTGAATTTTCAAGTTAAGAGATAAGTTGTTCAAGATATTCAATGGAAATCGTTCGAATAAAAATTTCGAGATTTAATCATTTATGTACGTGGATGAAATTTCCCAAATTTGACTGTTGACTATCTCGTTTTGTAGCAAAAATAAAGAAAATTATTTTTTCTTCATTTAAATGATTTCATTTCACTAAATTTCATAAAATTAAGTGAATGTAAATGTCCATTCTGTGTCTGGAATTGATTCTATTTCTACTGAAAAGGTGTGAAGATGGAGAGTGGGAAAGAAGAGCTAATCGAAAAAACCACACATTGTAAACAAGCAATTTGTTTTATTAAAATTTTAGTGATCTTTTATAAAATTGAGTGATTCATATGAGCAAAATTAGTAATCATTTTTTTCCAGCCTGAGGGAAGAAAGATAGAGAAAAAAATGTTGAAAAGAGTATTCTCACGTAAATTTCGGGATGTTTGAATGCAATCAATTCCAGTTTTGCTATTCTGTTGAAATTGTTTCTACAGGAATTGGTGGACATGAATTCAAAAAGTTTGTTTCGATAATATTGTTACGTTGAATGGAATAAAGTCGATGGATACGTAATTAAATGAATAGGCGAACAGTTTATTTATTAGTCACGGAGGCTACACACGAAATTATCAGCTTGAGGAAACCAAGGAGAATAATCAATGATCCAGATGAAAGTCGTTCTCTCACCAGCTTCATCCAGATTGATAATAAAATCAGGAGTTCGAAGGCAGGAGACGCAACAATATTTTTGATTTTGCTGCTATTGAAAAACCCGGTGAACCTCAAACTGATTACTAGTGTGAATTTCCACACATTCAACTCCTATTTCTTTCATTTATTCATTTTTTGTTTACAGAAAGAAAAAAATTGGGAAATTATTCATGTATTAAAAAACTCACGTGTTTTCTCAAGGTAAATTGATTTTCGATTCAACAAATCTTTAAATATTATATAGTTATATCGCGAATTTATTTATTAACGAAATTATTTAGCAGAGTCAATGCAATTGAAATCGTTGCACTCCAGCTAATTGTTGATTGATAATTGTAAATTTACATATATGAATAGCATCTTGTTGATTTTGTCATGCTTTTATTTCATCATACTTGAATACTGACAGTATTTTTGCAATAACATGAGCTGTAGGACACTAATTGCACAATATAATTACATGATATACATATTGAATTCTGCAGTATTATAGGGTACCACTCCATAATTACACATCGCGCAATCTGAACTCTATATTGTATAATTTTAATCTAAAAAGGTTCAGTTATGATGTGCACATAATACAAAATGTATAATTCATAAAGCGTGTGTAAATCAATAGAAAAATGCCTGAAGTTTGAGTCCCAATTGGTTGATTTTTGCTTCTTTGATTTTCACAATATGTCCATTTTACAATTGGAATGCGAGAATCATAATTTCTGTAGAGAAAATTCTAATGTGAAACAATAAATGTGTGAAAAAATTAATAGAATACATTGTGTGTAAGAAATGATTTTGTTGAAAAAATTAATGATCTTCAGTATCCTTTCATTCCTCACACATCTCAAATTATGGCACTTAATAGTTTATGCACGCCATTGGCATTTATGAAATTCAATTCCATTTCTCATTAAATAATTTTCGTTGGAGTCGATATTAGGTATCGAGACGATTGCGTGGATAGCCAATGCGAATGATAACATTTCACCTAGTGTAATTAACGAAAACAAAGGGCTAAATTGTTCCAAATTATAATTTCAGAACGAGAACTCCCTATCAACCGTTAATAGGAGGAAAGATCATGCTTATCCGTCATTATTGACATCCATGCAAGTATATGATACAATTGTGGATCCTCTTCTTTTCGGAGAATATTACAGAAATGTGTTTCACCAGTGTTTAAACGACCATAACCTCTTTTGGCTGTCAGAATCTAAGGGGCAAATGCAGAGATAATAGGGGAGATTGCTCAGGCTAATGAGAACTGTTCGATCAGAGTTGCATAGCGGTGGCGCGCATGAACTAATCGAGAGGCCGTCTCTGTGGGTAAAGAAATTTTCATCTATTACCATGGAAACAGTCGATAACAGGGATGCGTTCCCAATCTTAAATCCAACATGAAACCTCCTTTGCATTCACTCATCCGCTTGATTATCCCATTTTCGTTCATACAACTTCTTATTGTCTTAATTTGTAAATTAGTTGATCATAAAGGAGAGGGAGAGAAGGAATTATGAAGTCTTGAGCGAAAGAGGATCATTTATTTGAATTTCTATACAACTAGATCTTTAATAAAAAAAAAAATACGAGCAATTGATCTTATTCACATTTATTACAAATATTGTCAGTGATACAAAGATAATGAATGAATTTCAAATTATTTTGATGAGAAATATATTCAATATTTGTGAGAGATTATATCTCAACAAATCTCATACACATAATGGGATTAAATCAATAATAATAGATGAACGAATGAGACTTTTCGCGGATTATTGCGAGATTTAAATGAATGGTTTGCATTCTTCAGTGACCATAAAAAATTATCTCCAATCGACAATTCTCCCGATGGAATGGAACGATTTGAATGATATCA